CGGATGAAATCATGTGATGTTAAGCATACAATAAAATTCAGTGTTTGCCTTTTCATCGACCTCGGAGAAGAAAAGCTGAAAATCTGAGATAATTTAATTATAAACACAGCAGCAGCAGCAGCTAAATTGATGAGTATATGTCCAGAGTACATATATCAATACTCATAATAGTTGAATTTGCATAGAGAATATTTATGCACATCCCAAAAAACTTTTGCAGTGCCATACTTTCAGAGGGCCCTTGCGGCTTATAGCTAGACCATATATTATTATCCATAACTAGTCATTTCTTCCTAAACCTCATTTTTAAATTTAATTGGAGTTATTTGTAGTAAGTAGATATAATGATGGTGTCTCCACCTTGGAGCAATGATATTGGTAAGAGGCTATGAGGCATCTGGAAAAAGGAAAAGGAGAATGTTTTGGTGACAGTCACCCAAACAAGGGCCACTGTGTGTGCATATTATTTGACATCTCAGAATGGGAGCCAAAGTTCACCTTTTTGACGTTTCAGTACTGCACTACATACTTGCATTGACTCTAGAAGAGTTGCATGACATGAGTAAAGTCACTTCAACAACTTACCATTTTTCCCTTTTAAAAAAATAATAATAATCTTTTTTCCCAATTCAATGTTCAACATTAACCAATATGATTTTGTGATCTTACATGCAACAATGAAAAATGAAATACCACTGAATTAAGAATTAGTAATTAGTTTAACGATTTCGTAACGTAATTTTGATAATGATTTTACTTTGATTTTGTGAAGTGGCATGTTAGTTTGATTCTTATTATTGTGTGTAACTATATGGTTTGCTGAAAGAATTAGTATCATTATATATATTTCACAATGGTTTCATACAAATGTATACAAGTACTGGAGTAAGAATACGAGAATTGATAGACAACAGGAGTGATTGACAATTATACATGTCTAGATCCTAAATCAAAGGCCTTGAATTTAAGGAAAACAATCAGCCAGATCGTGCTTGGTTGTCAAGTAAGTGATCCGCTTGATTGTGTGCTTGATTAAGGGAATTTGCAGATTTCCTTCGTGAATAATGTGGCAGAAAAAGAATTTCTCTAAATTAAAATTCAACCCCAGATAAAAAGGCGATGATAGAATTGACCAAGACTCATTGGCCTCAAAGCCATTTGAAAATGAAAGTGACTTAGCGACAACATGACTATGAGCAGCTTCTTGATATGGATTGAGAACCCCACAAGCAACCAAAGGTGAGCTTTTTGAGTCTCGATTCCTAGAAGAAACCTTTAACAACAACAACATGAGCGGCTTAGAAATTGTGAAAGAAAATGAATTCCATTGCCACATTTTGCGGGGATTGAGTGGCCCAATTTCATATCATATTTGTGGTGTGAGATTGTAATCAAAGCCCTCCCAAAGGAATAGATGAAAGTTCCAAGTTTGGTCATGTCATGATGACATAGTTGTAATTCCTTGACTTATTTTATGTCTTATGAGCCTCTCTCTCTCTCTCTCTCTCTCTCTCTCTCTCTCTCTCTTTGTGCTGGTCAATCTTCTGAATCCAATGGGGGGCTTGAATTCAAAGTCCAAAAGCTCCTTCGCACAACTTTGCATAATTATCCGATCCCACTTGAAAAAGAGCATGTTCATGAAGTTTTAGGATATGGGGAGAACATAACTAAGCTAGACCTCAATGAACAGCTTTATGCAATGCTTTACTTGGTCATTAAGCATGTGTTAAGAACTTATTATTAACAGTTCCAATTAATAAATACCACTAATATACTTGAGTTAATGATATAATTGTAGAATCTAACACATTACTTTTGTTTTCCTCCATCTTCCTGGGAACCAACCAAATTATATATAGGGTAGGTATCTAAGTATCTTGTATCAGAAGAAAACTGTTCACTGCATCTATTCTCTTCTCTGAATGCATCAAACAACCAAACCTTACCATTCTACTTAAAAGGGGGAATAATTGTAAAGTGAAATTGAATTTAGAATTGAACCACATAAAAAGAAAAGGATAGAATCATGAGAAAGAATGGTGGCAGTTTTACAGAGTTGAGAATAATGAATTTAGAACCCACCAACCACCCAACACTAAATTCTTTTAAAGTGTTATGTGCCGACCGTTCTTTTTTTCTGTTTTTGAAGGAGAAGTGATTGTTTTTTATGCAAATGTGCATTTATCTATCTTGGAATTAATACTGTAGATTGATACTCTTGCCTTGCCTTGCCTCAAAGGGTAGGGTAGGTGTGTGTGTGTGTGTGTGTATAGATAGGATAGTATTTTAAATGCAAAAAAAGCTCTTGAAAGTGGGAAAGAGAAGATCGAAAAGGCTTTGCCAAGCGTGGAAACAGTAGTGTTAAGCAATGATTTTGTCTAACAAGTTTGGCCAGCTTTCCAAGATATATACAACAACAAGAAGTTAATCCTTAAAAAATAAAAAATAAACTTAATGAGCAAACGAAACATAGAAGAAGCCATTGATGAACAATGTCGCCGACTGCATGCCCACACAGACTGTTAGTAAAAAGAAGTGTTCCCTCTACCCCAACTTCTTTTTTTTTTTTTTTTTTTTTTTTTTTTTTTTTTTTTTTTTTTGTTGGGGGGGATGCTTTGGCCATCATATCATGGGCCATAAAACACATCATGATTGTGTTGCTGGAACCAAGTACATAATCTTAAGGGGAGTCTCTTGGCATTGCTTGCTAAGGAGAGAACACGAGGATCATGATTAATCATATGTCTTGATTCACCCTGCACTGCACATGTAGTTTGATCATGATCTTGCTGGCTGTTGCATGGCCATGGCCCATCTATGCAGCCAGCCTGCATAGAAGAGCTTTAGGGTTTGTAGCAAACACGAACTATTTTGAACTTTGGACTTTTGTGTTATATGATTGGAACCGCGGAAACTAGCCCAGAGCAAACATATATTTGTTCAGTCAGTGAGAGTGTGGTAAAAGTGAAAATGTCTCAAAACATCATTCATGACAATTTAGAGGGTTTATTATTATTATTATTGAATACGTGTGATAGTCTAAATTTTTCTAATCTACGGGAGGGGGATGCAACGGGATGGATTCATCGTCCAGAGTGTTTAATGTACCCAAAACTTTGAAATTGAGTGCACTGATTAAATCTTTTGGGTGCATTTAGTAGGCTCTTAGTTTAATTGATTGTCTCGGCCCAAATTTATAAACTCGAGGCAAGTAATGACCGTTACCTTGCATTTGGACCCAAATGTTAGCCCAACCCAACTTGAAAGAGAGTGGGCTTATTTGCCGAATTGCAAACCTAACTTTGAAGGAGGGTTGTGATATGATAAAATGCATAGATTATGTTCCTGCTGTGGAGTGTTTGTGTTTGAGCATGGGTTAAAATGCATATTAAATGTTAAGCTTTTATAAAAGGGATCCCTTTCCATCCGGCCATTACCGATTCCAATCCACTAAGAAAGATAATTTAATAAATTTGATGATACGCAATGTGGAATAAATATTTGACTCGAAGGAACTCATTGGAAGATAAATAACAAAGTTTTGATTGTCGCTGATCAGTATTCTGTCTTATATTTGTTCCACTCAAGATTCCATAGAGACTTTTGGGCGTTGGTAAGGCTCTAATCAGTAGTGGTGAGGGGTGACTGAGAGAGATACCCTTTTGCTTCCAATCTATTTTTGTTAGTGGTCAAATTATTCTATGTAATAGTACAGTGAAGTGGCAAACATCATTTGGTTTTGGTTCATGTTTTACAAGTGGTGAACGGCAAAAGGAAAGATGGTGGGAACTAGAGCCACTAAAAACATGTGTGCATATACGAGCGTCCAATTCAAAATTAATTGGCAATAGGTGACGAGTTAAATTATTGAAGCAATTCTAAAGTTTCAACACAAATCACAACATGAAACCTGTCCTGCTTTGCTGCTTATAAAGCCAGAGGCCCCCTCGGAGGACAGAGCACAAGGCCTCACACACTTCACAAAATGGAGAGGCTATTGTTAATCTTGATAGTAATGTGTTGTTACCTTTACAGTTGTAAACTTGTACTCTCTGGTCAGGCTATTGAATCACCTCACTACAAGGTGGTGCACTCAGAATCAGATTTTGAGCTCAGACAGTACAGAGAATCCTCATGGATGTCTGCTCTTGTCAGAGAAACAACCTCCTTTGAGAAGGCCACCAAAGATGGCTTTCACAGGTTAATTTACCAACACTTCATTATTCATTTTTCTCAAATTGTTTTTTTATTATAAATTTTTTGGATGAATATGATTTGAATTTGATCAGGTTGTATCAGTACATTCATGGAGCTAACCTTAACACTTCAGAAATTACCATGACTGCCCCTGTGTTAACAAGCATTGTCCCATCAGTGCATGGGCCGGCAGAATATTATGTAAGGCTGTATCTGCCTGCCAAATATGAAAGAACACCTCCACAGCCCTCCAGTGATCTGAATCTGCAGTTTGATCAGTGGAGAAGTCATTGCATAGCAGTCAGAAAGTTTACAGGGTTTGCCAAGGATGACCATTTTCATAAAGAATTTGAAACTCTTGTGAACAGCCTAAATAAGCACTTGAATGGAAAGCCTGCAATTTTGGAGGACAAGAGCTCCTATGCGATTGCCCAGTACAATGCTTCATATCACCTTTCTGGGCGCTTAAATGAAGTGTGGATGGATCTCTCTGGATTTACTTCCGACTGCTGAGAGACACACAGACATGCATGTTGATCTGGCTATTTTATAATTTCTCGCAGCAATTAGCAAAGCAAGAGATGTTGATATTTGAAATAAATAGAGATGACATCTTTCATGTATATTATGCCATTATATATAATAAACCTTATATATTACTTCAAGTAAATACAATCGTGTAAATTGTTCATATTGCCATGGACAGTCCTCATTATTGTTTCAAAATTCTTTTCTTTTTTTTTCCTTCTACACTAAACACGTTTATCGCACAAATCCGATAAAGAATTTAATACAAAAATAGATCACATTTGGGGTCTTGTCTGGACAACATAGAGTTTCCCATCCCTGATCACACCTTCAATGTCTTGTGGAGACCCATACAGCTCCTCAATTGCGCTTCCGGCACGAGCAATGCTAGAGAGGATTGACTTGCGAAAGTTTCCGTCAACCATCAGTGGGTCAGATGAATAGTCAAGCACAACTTTCTCTTCCTCATCCATAGGAACACTGTCAATAGCATGCAACGATATTAGAATTTAAAAAAGAAAGAAAGATTTAATTGATTTCTAAAGTGCATACATTATCTATGCAAACATAAAATGCCCGACAATGAATCTGGCTGAGTGTATCGACTAGTTTACAATTAGTCGAGCATCTATTGATGGAAGCTTATTGCGTGGGAGAGTTGTGTGGGAATCTACCTGTCATAAAGGCCTGCACCTGCATAACCTTCAAGATCTTCACCATTGGAATCAGATCGAAAGATTATGGATCGTCTTATAAAGAGGCCAACGGGTTTGCTAGGGTAACCCAACACCTGAAAATGTCCACGTACTCATGAGTGCAAACAATGGCAGGTCCAAAATAAAAATATGCATATTCCCCAATTACATGGTTGTGATAGGATTAGTAGGGTCTGTGAAAGCCGATAACCAAGTCGTCATCACTCTAGAAATACCAACACAATTCATTGCCCTCCATGGACTCTTATGTCACTTTTGGTGAGAGATGCACAAAAATGTATTACCTGAGGAGAGTCCAGATCATTCTTTTTGCTAATAAAACTTAGAGCCCGTCCAGGATAAGCTCCAACCAGGGTTTTCACCAAGTCCCTAACAACCTATCACAGAAAACACGACCCAAATCAATGTCATCGATACTAGTTGAAAATATTTCTTGCTTTAAAACCACCAAATACCTCAGCATATATCTCTGATGAGTCTCCTGACGATGGTTAGTCGTGTGAATAACGAATGCATAGTCAGCATTATGATTTCTTGAACAGGACAGCCATGCAGGAGATAATCATGATCTAATCACTTTTCTCGTGCTGGATATGCTCTCTCCATAAAAAAAAAAAAAAAAAAAAAAAAAAAAAAAAAAAAAAAAAAAAAAAAAAAAAAAAAAAAAAAAAAAAAAAAAAAAAAAAAAAAAAAAAAAAAAAAAAAAAAAAAAAAAAAAAAAAAAAAAAAAAAAAAAAAAAAAAAAAAAAAAAAAAAAAAAAAAAAAAAAAAAAAAAAAAAAAAAAAAAAAAAAAAAAAAAAAAAAAAAAAAAAAAAAAAAAAAAAAAAAAAAAAAAAAAAAAAAAAAAAAAAAAAAAAAAAAAAAAAAAAAAAAAAAAAAAAAAAAAAAAAAAAAAAAAAAAAAAAAAAAAAAAAAAAAAAAAAAAAAAAAAAAAAAAAAAAAAAAAAAAAAAAAAAAAAAAAAAAAAAAAAAAAAAAAAAAAAAAAAAAAAAAAAATGCAAGATGACCTTTGTCTTTCCAGAGGCTTGGTTAACAAGCCTTTAAATGTTTCGGATTCTAAAATTAGTTTAGGTCCCCACAAGAAGAAATTTGCCTTGCAGAAAAAAAAATATATATATATAGTATATAAAAACAAGAAGAACCAAGAATCAATGCGCAAATTGTCTCACCAGGAGGTCCTTATCATTGAGCCCGAAAGTATATTTCCTCAGAACAGAACCACCATCTTGTTCTTCCTTTGCCTTGGCGAAAAGCTCAACTGCTGTCAAGGTTTTGGGTTTGACTGAATGTTCTTTATCTACAATTTTAGCTTCATCTACAATTTTAGCAGCATGTTTATTGATAATCTGCATAAAGTCCCTCTTCTTGCGCTGTATTCTGTCGGTTCTAAAAACCTGTTTACTCTCAAATTTCTTTGTAACCTTTGTTTGTATCTCTCCTTTGGTACTCTTCTTCCGTATCTCATCAAGAGAGGCACCTTTTTCTAGTTCCCTCTGCAACTCCTGTCTTGCTTCCTCAAATTCCCTCTGTTTTCAGAAAATCACACCAATGAAGACCAACTCTAAACAAAAACGGGAGATACAACTCATTGATCACACCAAGGAAGCAAATAGTTAGTCTCCATTTGCTTGAAAGGAGATACCTAAAAGGAAATGAGGGGGAAAATAGAAACAAGAACCAGAAGCTCAAAGGAGATTTGGAATTTACATGTTGCTCTTCTGGGGAGTAGTTGGTTTCCCAGCTTTCTCCCAGCGTATATAAGATTGTATTTGTACAAGATCCTCAGGAATCCTCTTTGTCTCAGAAAGAGATGGTTCTTCAATTTTACCACCATCATTTTTCTTTGTCAGCCTTGCTTGGAGATCTTGTATGGAAGTACCCCTAGCTACTCCTCCAATAGCTCACTTCGGGCTGCTTCGTACTCCACCTATAAACAGTAAATATTCATTAAAAGCAAACCAAAATAGCATAAAAAGTCTTTAAATCAACTTCGCAAGTTTCTCTTGTCAAATGTTCTATAAGGAAGCTAAATGACTAATGAATTTTCATTAGCCAGACTTTAACCAGTCCTTATTCTGTAAGAGATGCATTACAGATGAGCACCATGGTATAACGATGAGGATGGATGAGATTCTGCAACACAGAGAAATCCTAACGCAACTGGATTTCTTTCTCTCCATGGGCAGTAAAAAATGAAAAGGAAAGAAAGAATTACAGTTGGAGATGCAGTAACAATGATGACAGGAAATTTGTAAACTTAGATGGCACATTTTACATGCCTTCTCTTGCTCTGGTGTTTCTTTCTCCTCGTGGGAAGTAATAAGCAAAAGGAGAAAAAGAATTACAGTTGGAGATCCATAACGATGACAATAGGATATTTGTAAAATTAGAGCACAATTCACATGCCTTTTCTTGCTCTGGTGTATACATCTGTTTACCCTTTCTTTCCCATCTCAAATATGCTTGAATTTGTACAAGTTCTTCAGGAACTGAAGCATTGGATATCTGCTTCTCTTTCGCAGGTAACTTAACATGAAAGTTATCACCATTGTTCTTAAACCTGCCAAAGAAGATTAAGGAAGAATAAAACTCTTCATCCCATTTACATCAAAGTTACTAGGCCAAGAAAAAACAGAACAAATGAAAGCCTACCATCTGTTCTGGCTTTCATCAACTATAAGAAACTCGATTGCTTGTATTGCAGGATCATCAATCTCAATTTTGAGCAAGGAAATGGAGCCAGACTAGAAAAAAATCAATTGAAAGACAAATAAATCTTCAGTTAGCACAGGAATAAACAAATACGATATTTGTGCTGCTTTAAAACCTTACTTTTTGAAAAGGAGTTCTGAGAGCTTTGTTCTTATATACTTTGGTCCCATCTGGGCGCCGAGAAGGAAGCACCCACTTTCTGAAAATAGAAAATGACAAAAAGGAAGAAGACATTTCAGATTATAAGGTAGACACTTGAGTATCTGACTCAACTAAAGAAGCAATTACAGGGAAACTTACTCTTTTCTATCTTGTATCCCACCCCAGTGAAGAGTCAAAGAGTGCCGCTGTATGTTACCCGAATGTCTACTTCAGTGGCAGACCCTGGAGACGATGCATTCACATAAACCTGCCCATTTAGGTATGGCTTCTGTTAGTATAGTCCCTTGTGGCATATCTTGGCTCAGCTGAACTCAACATAGCCTTATCCAAATGGATAACATTGATCTAAGTACCTAACACTTACACTACATGTACCTGCAATTCAATATTCCCACCAAGATTGAATTTCCCTGCAAGCTGCTGCTACAAGGCAAAAGTCAATTAAACATTAATACATTCCAAGCCAACAACCAGACAAATCAGAATAATCATTCAAATATCAACTTTAAAATAATTTTTCTAGTCCACTCTTGAATAAGATTTCATTTATTATTTATATTGTACTTGGATTTAGAATTAGGAACCTCATCTTAAAAATGTTTCAGAAAAAAATTATCTGTAGGATAATCTGAAAAAAAAAAAAAAAAAAAAAAAAAAAAAAAAAAAAAAAAAGATTTTAAGGTTGTATTGTATAATTTGGAGACACTGGAGGAATTGAATTTGGAAATTTAACCAGTGGCCAACATTCAAGCTCAATTCTTAACAAAGCCTTAACGCGGACAAATGGGAACTGGACACATTGTCCATTACACCACCTCCCTAACCCTAGCATTATGAAGCTATTTTCTACTAGGTTTTCCAATGGATAATTCAACAAATTATTGAAAACTACTCAAATGCTATAATTCAAAACTGATCAATATGAACAGAAATTTCCATACATCGGAAGGCGGATCTGTGGTTAATACAGCGCGAGAATGGCTGTAGCAGGGCCGCGTGAACCCATGGCTAACTTTGGTTTCTGGACGTTCAAATTGTTCCCACAAAATTTCTTGGATATGGGTGACTTCCGTGCCTGTGCTGCCACTTGGTGGACACTCTTGGCTTGAAATAATGTGTTAGCAGGAATACCAGAAGAATTTATCTTGCTTTGAAGCAAGCTCTGGTTGAGCAAGTTATGGCCTACCGAATTGCTCATATTCGTTGATACCCTCCTCAATTCTGAAGAAACCAAAGAATCCATCCGAAGGAGAAGAAATTAGAGCAAGCTACACCATTTAAAAGCATTCATGAATTATCAAGTAAATTAAGTTCTTACACATACATACACAAACATGTAATTTTTACTTACACAAACATGTAATTTTTACTGATTCTGTGTTTGGTTGCCGCGAAAGATGAGGAAAATAAAAGGGAAAAAGGAAAAGGAAATCACTTTACTAGTTTCTTATTTTGGACGTTGTTCTGATTTTTGAGAACTAGCCCCCTATTTAAATACATCTATTTAAAGCTTATACCTTTTTACTTTGGCAAAAGAAAAAAAAGCAAAAGGAATTCAAAATCTCAAGAGGTGCACGACATATCTTTCGCTGCTTTTCTTCTTTGTTATAAGCATTTTCTGAGGAACCAAAAGGAAAATGGGTAGAAAATTAAGCGAAAAACAAGCAGCAATGCAACATTCCCATTCGTTTTAGTTCAGAAACATCCAGAATCAGGAACAGTAAATGCCTGTGAAATTCGATGAATAATTGATCAAACTGTTCGAATAAATAAAACAGAAATTGAAGAAGCTACCTCTGGAAATTGATTCAAGCAGTTTAGAGAGAGAGAATTAATATACGATCAGATTCTTGAAAGATAGAGAGAGAGAGGGTGGTGAGTGAGTGAAGGGTAAAGAGAGAGAAACAAAAAAGTGGAGGTCGAAGACGAAGGCTTTGGTTTGAAGCCAGTCCGCGAATTCTTGTGATTGGTGGGATTTGTCACCAGTCGTTACTCTTCTGGGAAATCAAAGAGAGCGAGTCTACGTAAGTGACATGGCGCTTTATCTCTGCCGACGGACGCGTGGCCACATTTTCTTTTTTTCGAAAAACCTCGGGGAGATTCTCACGTGCGACTTCTTCTCCTCCTTGTCTCGTTAAGTTAAAGTTGAATGAGTGAGAGAGAGAGAGAGAGAGAGAGAGAGAGAGAGAGAGAGGGGTCATCACTCAACAGATTTGCCCGCGATTTTAACCCAAATTTCATTACTGACCTTCCTCCTTTGATATTTGCTGGAACTGTTTGTCGCTAAGCTTATTACAAAGAATCAAATCTTTTAATAATGAGCTCGCTATGTACTGAACGAAAATGACTACCACATACCAATTAGTATGAAGAGATCATTTGAAAAATAAGATACAAAAAACAAATGAAAGTTTGTATAATAATAAGTCGGTTTCTCAAATGCACGGATAAATATTTTTAATCAGAAGAATTACAAGTTGTTCGCCTCTCATTATTTCTACAATTGGGTCTCTCTTTTTCTGGAATTATAAGATGTGCCCCACGATGCCAACTTGCGAGCGTACCATTTCTGCAAAATCATATCAGAGCAACTCTAGATGCAGTCCGTCCATCCATAGTCCACACTTGATAGATCCAAAGCACAAAGATATTTTATTTTATGAAGGGCAGATATTATATAACAGTTGCTAGGAGGATGCATTATTATAAGCAGGTCGGTCACTGGGTCTAAATATCTACCGTCCCTTTTTGGGTTTTTGTTTTTTATTTATACAAGTGTGAAATTCAAACCGTTCACGTCCAGAAAAAAAAGAAGATGGGAAAACAAATAGTCACTTTCAGGTGGGCATAACATAAAGAGAGAAAAGAAAACACACACCACGTTGAGTGTAAGATAACGCAAGGAACCCATGAAATTAAACAGAGCTTTAACATCTGACTCGAACAAAAAAAGTTGGGGGACATGTGAAAATGCACCGAATTGAGGTAGGCATTTTGCCTAACCACACAGGCAAGCAATCCATATCGCTTTTGGCCTTAGCTGGAAACTTGTGAGATGTGCATACAAATCCATGCAAGTCGGAACATGGAAGATGATGGCAAGCAGACAGACAAATGCCACCAAAAGAAGATTAAAATTAAACGCATGAGCTTTAAAATTGATGGATGATCTTAACTTCACTCCCAAATCCCACATTTCACAATTTGGCATGCAGCAGAACAGAAAGTAGTGTGATTTGATGGGAAAACTTTTCATTTGGCAAAGAATTGATGTTTGTAATGTGATCTTCTTGTCCTTTGTGGAATTTATGATGCAATATGGGCTTTTGTTGGGTACTTTATGTCAGTTCAGTTTGTAACATGGACTCATGCCTTCATGCAATCCATGGCATAGCTTTTACAACTTTAGCCAAAGCCCAAGTTTCCTGCCATTTGAAACGTTGGCAGATGAGCCCATGTCAGAAATCTAGGACTCCAAAACCTGGCTAATCCCATGAAATATTTTCTCATTTAATGGTTCGTTTGGTACACCGTATTAGACTATGGATAGGAGTAAATAGTCTATGTCAGGTGTTTGGTGTCAATTTGTATTATTTAATTACCCGACTATTTTATACGGGTTGGGCTTTTAATACTCTCCTTACCTGACTAACTAATACAACCCACACACCCCGGTTTAGATAATACACGCTTAATTATACGGCTAAGCACGCGTTCTACAAAAAAAAATCATACGCTCTTTTCATCTTCTTCTCTCTAGGGTTCTTCTCTGCTATCTTCTCCACAGGTTATTTTCTTCACTCTTCTCCAGGTATCCATCTCTCTCACTCTCTCTCTCTCTTTCATACTCTCTCCAATATGCTTCTTCTCTATTCTTTATATATTTCAATTTTTTTATTAAATTTTTATGGAAATTAGATTATGTATTTTTCGCTTTTGAAATTAGGTTATGCTTACTTACATGAATGAAAGCTAAATCGTAAAAGGACCTATTTTACAATGAGAAACATTGGACATGGGATTAATGAATGAATTGCTGTCTCTCACTTGGAAAGTGATCAAATTCCACTAATATTTTTTCCAAAGACTTTGACCCTTTTATTGATATTCTATCTTCAATCTGCCCACCGCCTTGAGGCATATGCCCCTTCCTCCTGCGATTTACCCAAACCAAAAAAAAAAAAAAAAAAAAAAAAAAAAAAAACGAAGCCCTACATAATAATAATATGAACCTTTTATTGCTTCTGTTATGCTGTTCTTATTGTACATGAAACTTTGATGTTAGTATAGACATATGTAGATCATTGCTGCTGAATTGGCAAAGATGGACTTGTCTATTATGACCAAATTAAGGCACTACGGCTAATTTTGGAGAAAGCAAGTGATGAGAGAACATTCATGACATTGGATGGTGCTATGCGAAAAGCATTTGTTCTTCTCTTACTTGGGGCGAGGGAGCTGTGATTCACTCTTTGATGTAGTTTGGTTTATGAACAACTTTCCCTTTTGCTTTTATCACCTTAGTATGTGATCACTTTGAATTATACATTATTTGGTACTGTTTTTATTAATGTATGCGAGTATGTTGGAATTTTTATGAGATACTACAATTATGATAATGGGTTATATGAAAAAAAATCTTGGCAAAAACAATTGAAAAACAAATCTTGTCATATGAATCTTACCAAAAAAAATTCGTGTCATTTGAATCTCAATTTCCATTAAAATTATCAAAGAATTTTTTTTATTTTAAAAATAGTTAGATCTGATGTTATCCGGAACATCACCAAACACAGTATAACTTAGTCAGACTATTTATCCGGAACAGCACCAAACACCTTATAATATTATGGATAAATAGTCAGTACTCTCCGGAACAAATTAATACTATCCGATGGAAATTAGTCAGTACAGTCCGACGTACCAAACGAGCCTTAAGATCATAGTAACTCGTACTTAGTGTTTTTTTTATTTTTGTTTATAAGAGAAATAAACAGATTTATTCAGATCCAATTATAACAAGGTAATTACAAACTATACATGAAGAACACTGCCCCAAATGAGGGTTTTTGCAAACAAAAAACCATACAAATAAGTAAGGCAGTACAATTAAAGCAAGAACAGTAAGCAAAACTCCATGACATTTTAATTCAAGCTCACTCATAGTGGAAGATGACAGGATCAATAGGAACTCTGCACCAGTGCTGAGAGATCATGTCAGAGAATCAACTCTCAACCATTTTTGGAACTGGAAACACCATAAAGTGAAAGAGCATTTACCACTCAAATTCCACTTAGACCATAAGATAGTAGATCCCACCAGATGCTTCAACTCCACCTCCACAGAAGATAGATCAAAGGAGATCTGCACCTAGACTAGAGCTCAAAAAATCAAGAACACAAACATCAGGGGGCCAAAAATGGGAGATCACCTTAGATCCAACCAAGATCGGCCAAGAAGCCCCTAAAAACCTAAGGGTGAGACAAAAACTTTGGGGGGGCGGCGTGTATGAAATATCAATGCAATCCACAAAACACGTGAAAGAATTTTTAATTTTTTTTTTATCAAAGTATTAACGTTTTATTAGGATGATAATTTCCGAAGTCACAATTCACATTATAATCAATATAAGAAAAAGCGAAGTGCTAATTTTCTAAACTCAAAATTATTGGTAGAAGACTCCATTTCTTCATAGATAATTGTTTTTTTTTTCTTACTTGTTAAACTTTGTAGTCACAATTTGACCAGCCAATTCACTTATAGATAGTTTGTGCTGACCGAAGATAAAAAAAATTTCCTTTTGTAAACAACGAATCATGCGTGGGACCCATGTGTCTAAATGAAGGACTATAGAGTTTTAAGGAAAAAAAAAATGGAAAAACAGGGGGAAGCATGAGAGCACGTGAGGGAGCCAAAATGCCTCATTGGCCGATATTCTAGCAACGTATCAGGCACACCCACGTCACGTGGCAAAGCTTGAAAAATCGGCAAAACCAGATTCTTTTTTATTTTCCTAAATCAGAATATAGATGCATATCGAATTGATTTCAGAATCCTCATTGAATATTCTTTCCAACCCAGACGATCCAGTCATTGAATGACATAATCATTCATCTTGGTCATATTGCCAAAATATCTTCTGAGATTTTTTGGGCGTGTACGAACATTATTCATCTTTCTTGAATGGACTTTGAAGCTCGCCATGGATGCAGAAAGATGGTGCTTTGGAGGTGAGAGTTAGC